TTTAGCCCCTGTCAAACCAGCATCAAGAATTAAATCAAGAACATATTTCCTCTGATTAACGTACATACCCTGTTCACTTCGTGCAATTTCAAGGCCCAAAAAATATTTCGCATATCCCAAATCCTTGATAGAGAAGACTTTATGGAGGTAGTGCTTGATAGCAAGAATATCATCCTCATGGGAACCAGTGATAAGAACATCATCGACGTAAACTACAAGAATAAGGATACGCTGAGACTGATGTTTGAAAAATAAGCAATGATCATGCTCAGATTGGTGAAAACCAAAATTGCGAAGCTTCGAGCAAAGTTCAGCGTTCCACTGTCGGGAAGCCTGCTTCAAACCATAGAGGCTACGTTTTAACTTGCACACTTGCCCAGGTAACGCCTTATGAAAACCGTCTGGAGGTAACATATACACTTCTTCATCCAAGAAGCCATGAAGAAAGGCGTTATTGATGTCCAGTTGATGCAAAGGCCATCCTTTATCAGCCACGATAGTGAAGAGAATTCGAATAGAAACCATTTTAGCCACTGGTGAGTAGCTATCAAAATAGTCAACACCTTGTAGCTGATGATATCCTTTAGCGACCAGTCGTGCCTTCAGCCTGTCAACTGTGCCATCTGGGTTTAATTTCACTTTGTAAACCCACCTAGAACCAATAGCATGTTTCCCAGTAGGCAAGGCAGTCAACTCCCATGTGTGATTACTTTCGAGAGCATCAAGCTCCTTCTGCATAGCTTGAATCCAATCCTTGTTTTGACTGGCTTGATTGTATGAATGTGGCTCCTGAATAGTTGACAAAGTAGCTAGAAAACCGGTATGTGGTGAACTAATATGAGGTAAAACTTGGTAAGGAAAGGTAGGAGGAGAGTAACCTGTGGAAACAGATGGAATCTCCCTGCAAAGTGAAATGACATCAGCAGTTGGCAAGACTTCTGTGCTATTAACATTGGTAACAAAATCTTGCATCCAGGTTGGTTTAGATTTAATTCTGGAACTTTGTCTAAGAGGAGGAACAGATGTAGACGGCAAAGTATGAGTCAAGGGACTGCAGTCTTCAATAGACTGTGAATCAAGGAAAGGAACAGGTATTAAAGGCACTGACTCAGTAGCTATATGTGGAGAAGTAATAGGATCCTGTTGCATCTCTGTAGCTGGTGGATTAGTCATCGAAGGAGGAGTGATGTCTTCATCTAAGTCAAAACCTGGAGTAAAAGGTAGTGGAGGAGATGAATCATCTGGAGCTATGTTTCTGAAAGGAAAAATGGCTTCAAAAAATTTGATATCACGAGACACTTGAATTTGATTTGTGGTAATATTGAAAATCCTAAATCCTTTTTGCCCAGGATTGAAACCCAGGAAAATACACTTATATCCCCTCTCCTCAAATTTATCTTTATGTGGTTTTGTATTGGCAATATAGCAAA